GATCACAGCTCATTGTTGATAGAAGATGGACAGAAGAGTAAAAGTAAGGCAAGCAGATTCCATTTTGACAAGAGGTGGATCCAAAAAAAAGGGATACAGAAAACAATATCACAGGCATAGAGTGACAGCTCTGAGAGTACCCTCATGTTTATCCTAAAAGAGAAAGTTAAAAAGACAAGAGTTGCTCTGATCCAGTGGAATAAAGCTCTGAATTCTAATAAAAGGACAACCATTGACAGTCTGACTCTTCAACTTGCTGAGATGAGAAAACTAGGAGGGGAGAGGAACTGGAGGGAATGGGAGAAGCTGCAAAAAGAAATTGATGAAGCTCATTGTTTTGAGGAGCAATTCTGGTTGCAGAAATCAATGATACTATGGCTGAAAGAAGGAGATCAGAATACAAAATTTTTCCATGCTATGACCATGCAAAGGAGAAAACAGAATGCCATTACAAGGTTGTTAGATGGGGCCAGAGAGAATTACCACAGAGAAGGAGATTGAAGAGCATATCCTGAAATTTTATGATGATCTTTTTACCACTGAAGGTTCTCAACAAGAAGAAAAAGCTCTGAAGCACATAAGGCCTGTTATTTCATCTTCCATGAACAGAATCCTGAAGGCAGAAGTAGGAGAGCTGGAAATACAAAAATCTTTGTTTCAGATGAACCCTTCTAAGGCACCAGGGGAAGATGGGATGACAACTCTTTTTTATCAGCACTTCTGGCCACTTCTGAAGGAGGATCTGTGTAGGGCAGTAGTTAGCTTCTTTGAATCTGGGCAGCTGTTGAAGTATTGGAATCACACAGTAGTGACTCTCATCCCCAAGTGTATAAATCCTGAGTCCATCAGCAAATTCCGACCAATAAGCTTATATGGGGTGGTGTACAAGATCATTGCCAAGATTCTGGCCAACAGATTGAAAGGGTGTCTAGACTGTTGTATTAGTCAAACTCAGGCAACCTTTATCCCAGGCAAACAGCTCATGAACAATGTAGCCATAGCCCAGGAGATCTTCCATTACCTGAATAGACACAGAACAGGCAAGAACTGTTTCATGGCCCTGAAGTTGGATATGCTTAAGGCATATGACCGTATGAAGTGGGGTAGTGTCTGCAAAACAAGATTCTTGCCAAGATTCTGGGTCCATCAGCAAATTCCGACCAATAAGCTTATATGGGGTGTGTACAAGATCATTGCCAAGATTCTGGCCAACAGATTGAAAGGGTGTCTAGACTGTTGTATTAGTCAAACTCAGGCAACCTTTATCCCAGGCAAACAGCTCATGGACAATGTAGCCATAGCCCAGGAGATCTTCCATTACCTGAATAGACACAGAACAGGCAAGAACTGTTTCATGGCCCTGAAGTTGGATATGCTTAAGGCATATGACCGTATGAAGTGGGGTAGTGTCTGCAAAACAATGCTGAAAATGGGATTTGAACCTGTCTTTGTTAAATGGATTTATGTTTGTATATCCTCACCAACTTTCTCATTTCTTATAAATGGCCAACCCAAGGGCTATCTTACTCCTTCAAGAGGGATAAGACAGGGAGATCCAATTTCTCTCTATCTGTTTCTGATTGTTTCTGAGGTTCTATCATCATTGATAAGGGGAGCTGCTTGCAGTGGGGAATTTAAAGGGCTCAGGACTGCTAGGGAAGGGCCAACTCTTACACATCTGCTCTTTGCAGATGACACTCTTATCTTCTGTAAAGCTGACATTAATCAAGTGAGAGTGCTGAGGGATATACTGCAATTATACAAGAGTTTCTCTGGACAAAGTGTGAACTTGAGCAAGTCTACAATATTTTTCAGCAGAAATTCCCACCCCAGTTGAAGTCTGCAGTGTGTTCCTTACTGCAGGGCATTGAACAACACAACTCTACAAGATACCTTGGACTTTCCCTGGGGATTTGGAAATCCAAGAAAGAGACTTTTGAATATATTATTGAAGCAGTGAAGAAAAGGATGGTGAGCTGGAAGAACCGATTCCTATCCACAACTGAGAAAGAAATCTTGGTGAGGGCAGTGTTTAATGCATTGCCAGTCTTTTCAATGTCCTGTTTTAGATTGCCTATGGGGATTTGTGAGGAGTTGAGCAGAATTACAGCTGTTTTTTGGTGGAGTAAGGGATAGAACTTGGATAGTGGCATTCATTGGAGGAAATGGAGCATCCTGGCCCAAGCTAAGAGCAATGGAGGGCTGGGTTTCCAAGACTACAAGTTATTTAATGAGGTCCTCCTCTTAAAACAGCTTTGGAGGATTACCACATTGTCTGATCTTCTAGTAAGCAAAGTAATGAAAGCCAGGTATTACCCTCATAACTCAATCTTTGAGGTTAAAAAGAGCCAGTCAACTTCTTGGCTTTGGAACAATTGGGTAGAGATTCTACCTGTTTTTGCTCAAGGTTTGAAAAGAGAGATAAGGGATGACAGACTCACTAGGATATCTGAGAGCAGTTGGGTGCCAAATCTAAATCATAAATGTCCAACTCTTCTTAACGCTGGTAGTGGCTCTCCTATTTGGGTTAGGGATCTGATAAAGGAGGATGGTAGTGGTTGGAATGAGGAGTTGATTAACCAGATGTTTAGTGATGTTGATAAAGCAGCAATTTTGGATATTAAATCACTAGCACCTGATGAACAAGACAGATGGAGGTGGTCTTTTGAAAGAAATGGGAAGTTTTTTGTGGCAAGTTCTTACAATTATCTGCTAGCCCAGAAAACTCTATTTTTGGATGTGCCTGAAGGGAGTTGTTCAGCTTGGATTGACAAGAATGCTAAAAACAGAACATGGAAAATGAAGGTTAAAGGTAAACTCAAGCATTTTCTATGGAAATGCTTTACAGGGTCATTACCTGTGAGTTTAAATGTTGCAAAAAGAGGGGTGCAGTTAGATTCAATCTGCAAGATGTGTGGGGAGTAGCCAGAGTCAATTGAACATCTTCTGCTAAGCTGCAGCAGAGCACAGAGAGTCTAGAAACTGTCACCTTTGGAGTGGGAGGAGAAGGTTATGACTGCACCATCTTTCAAACTGTGGTGGTGGCAAATATGTGACTTGGAGAAATCATAAATAGCCGAGGACCGCATGCAATTATCTACGTATATTTTATGGTAGTTATGGCGATCCCACAATCTATGGCTTTTTGAGAAGGTTTGGATGCCGGAAGAGGTAGCGGTTCGAGGGGCGTGGAGAGAATGGCAAGAATTTGCGTCTATTTAGAGTTTAGCTTTCTTGGTGTTAGGGTGTTTGGTTGGTCGTTGTTTTTTTTTTCTTTGGTGTTTTTGTGTTAGTGGCTTGTAGTAGGTTGTTCGAGGGGAAGTCCCGGTGGTTGTATCCCCGCTTTTTCTCGTGTTTTCTTTGATTTTTCTCTAGATCACTCGTTGAGTGTATCTCCCATTGTAGTTGTAATATTCGAACTTTGTTCGCGCTTTTTCTAGTTATACTATCTTCTATCGTTTGAAAAAAAAAAAGAGATAATGTTGAGCTAGGTTGAAGGCCTAATTATTAGTGCACATTACAATATTATTAACAAATTTATATATTTTTATAGTTGCATCTGAATATATAAAAGAATAGTAAAAGTATGACATTTCATATTAAAATATGTGTTTTAATTTTAGAAGTATGATGAATCGGTCTACCTAGCCGTCATTAGTGTTGTTAAATTAAATGAGTCTGACTTGGCTCGGCTCGGGCTCGGCTCACTGAGGCTTGAGTTCGGCTCGGTTCGGCTCGTTTGATAAATGAGTTGAGCTCGACTCGACTCGATAAGGCTCTAAAAGAGAATTTTAAAATGATTTTTTATATTCAAGTTCGTTAAAGCTCGAGATCAACTTGTTAAGTCTCGAACTCGGTCCGTTATTGGTGATAAACCGAGCTTGAGCTCGATTTCAAACTCGTTTAGTTAACGAGCCGAGCTCAACTCAGCTCGTTTACAGGCCTAACTGTCATCCCACCTCTCAAATAATACTTTTTGTATTCGAATTAACCTGAATTTTTTTCCTGGCTACACCCCTGGGCATACTGTAAAAGATCGCTCTTCAGTTCTAACAATACCATTTTGAATGAGTTTCGTGTTTTAGTCAAGTGTGTGGTTGTCATTTATTTATTATGCAAGCATAGTTCCTTTATTTTACACTGTAAATAATATGGTTCGATGTGTTGAACAGAAGATCATATTATTTGTGTCTTGTAAAATATAAATATTGTTTTCAACCTAGACGTAGTTGAACTAACAGTCGGGAAAGGCTAATTGATATTTGACTAATAAATTACACTAGTACATCTCGGATGTAATGAACAAACCTACAGGATGAGAAAATAATTTTATACTAATCATGAAATAATCTAGACCTCAGTAATTGATGCGTTCTCTTAACCCGTATGACAATAAACAAACATATATATTCAACACCTACTTATTTGATTTACCAAGGGAGACTTATTCTGTTAGGTTGACATACTCAGTATTTTGGTAAATAATATTGTTTACATGATGTGCTGTTAAGATTGTTTACGGTCACCGTATCCCGATCCGCCGAGGTGATGATGTTCCCGCAATGAGCTGAGAACGATTGTTATGTTAAGCCATGCAGGCGGATCAATTTTCGATATAATAATAAAGAAATGAGTGATACTAATTTCAAATATAGAAGCTAATTAATTATATTATCAGTAATTAAATTATCAACGAATGTTAAATCTTAAATATGGGGAGGTAATTCGACCAATTAACCGGGAGACAAATTATTTGTAATTATGAGCTAAATGAATAGTGTTCCATATCAGCTCCTATGTGAACAAAATTCTTATGCGGGCAAAATAATGAAAACGTTAATGTAAGATAAATTGTGTTCGTATAACCATTAACCCACAAATACAACTTCAGTGTTGTGAATCCGTGCAATACACGAGATACACTAGTACATACTTGAAACAAGAACAAAGCCATCAAAGCAACAATTAAATACAGCACTACAGTCCCATATCAGCTCTCATCAGCACAAGCACGAATAGGCAAAATGACTCTTTTTAGCTACATAAGGAGAAACATAATCAGCAGCCGATTCAGACGTGTTCTTCGCAGGGACAAGTATCCGAGTCTTGCCGAGTCGAATTCTTTCCCCCACAACGCTCGTGTAGAATCTGTCTGGCAAAGCTGGAACAAACACGTCACCTTGCATGCACATGTAATAGTCGATGTATCTTTCCAACTCTCGACTCTTCATGTCCATGAACTTCCCCTTTTCATCCGCCGGCATTATAGCATCCTACAGTATCACATCAAAATAAGTGTTGTCAGTCATATTCAAATGAAACCCAAAAAATCAATCAAAAATGGAAAGAAAAAAGAATGAAAGTAAAAAATAGCTTGTGTAAATATGTTTTACCTTGATAAAAGTGTTTGGGAAAATACTCCTGAGAGCATCGAGGCTGTTGTGCCACCCCGTCTGGGTCAAATATATGGTTGTATTGGGATGAAACCCAATCTTCTCGAGAAACATTCCAATTTCTTGTGCACTAAGGCAACTATCCATGCACGCAAGTTGTCCCAACATCTCAACTCGAAAATCCACGACCAGAAACCGGCCGCCCATAGTCATGCTGAGACTCCGTAAAGTCCCTACCATAGAATCAGCCAGCTTCTGCAGCCAGGGCTGAAGCTTCAGGCTCTCGAACATGGCCAAACACTGGTACGCGTTTGACTGCTGATTCACGGACCCGTTCACCTTGGCAGAGGAGGTGAAGTACGTGAAGATCTTCAAGTTCCTCTTGCTGAGGTAAACGGGCATTATTTTGGAGGAAATAAATTCCTCTGAGACTTGTTCGGGGACTTGGACAATAGGGAGCCTGCTGTATAACAGCTTGACCGGCAGAGCTTTTTCAACCGGGACTACTCCACTGAGGCTTGCGAGGAATTTATCAAGGTTATAGACCTCAGAAAAGCTCCTGATTTAAATAAAAAATTCATTTATTTAAATTCTTATGCTCAGTCATATTAACAATGACTGTAACTACAAAGCACAATTATTATCCATGTGTCGTAATCAATTTAGACAATTTTGTGGGAAATAAACTTACATATTTATTGAGAAACATTTACCTCTTCTCGCCCGACTTATATTTGGTGATATCAGGTAGTGCCAGAGTTGCACCGAGCTTCCTCGCAATCAAAACAGCGTTTGCCACCTGAGATGCAATAGAGATCATCTTATTTATACTTGATTCATATAAACTCGGATGTTATTCATCTTTTATTTTATATTTGACAGAACTGATCAAAGGTTAATATTTGAACAGACCTGCGAAGCGTGGTACTCCGGACCATGAGTCAAGGACACGAAGACGTATCCGCCAGACTGCTGTTTGCTCTCTGCCATAAGCAATATTACCAAAAAAAAAAAAGATAAATAAATAAATTAAAGAAGCAGCATATTTAGGCATGGATGTTTCAGAGATGCTCATTCGTCAGAAATAAAGTGGGAATCTTACTCAGAATGGGGTTTCTCCAGCAGGTCTGGACGGGTTCGTCATGTTCCAGCCATGGCCCGTTGTTGATTTCAGATAACTTCAGCACTTTGGGTTTCGAAGTCGGCTTCAGATTGCTGTACTTAACCGGCAGTGATTCCCATTCCTAGAATAGATATGATAGCATTATCACACTTGTCTATTTAGACAAACAGTTATGTGCTTCTGCTATTTTGGAATCAGAACTCAGAAGCTGGAGTTAGATAGCTATAATCCTATTCACAAACAAAAGTTATGATATCATACTTTGCATCTCACAGAAAGTTATATCCATCAACAATTGTAATCATTGCTATGCTTTAATTGGAAGTTTCTAATTGATAACTGTTGAGTTAATGTAATAATCACCCATATTCTAGGCCCTTTTGAGGGGTGGTGTTCTACCTTTCTTGTAATTTACAGTTGAATTAGGAAAGAATAAAAACACAAACTATGGCATTTAAAGATAATTAATTCCAAATATTTTAAAAAGGGCATTTAAAGATAATTAAATCCAAATATTTTAAAAACAGAAAGAAAGTGAGACTTAAAAGAAACTTAAAAATAGAAACAAAAGAGACTTAAGCTTTTCATTTCAGGTCGCCAGTTAACGATATGCGCTACTATGCCTCATTCTTATGTACTCATTCAATTTGAAGTCATTTTTTTCACAATCTGGATGCAATAACACAAATTTACATAAAACAAACACGTTTCACACAAAAAGCGTAGACTTACAATTAGTGGATCGATATGGTCTCTCTTTATCATGTTTCCAAGCATTACGAACATCGAAAATGTTAGAAAAGCAGCCATAACTTGCCTCAAATCAAAAGCCATTTCTCACCTCACTATGAATACCTATCAGATATTTTTTTCTCCTTTTTTTCTCTCTCAGCTTTGTTGAATCTGTGCAATGCCTTTTTCTGTTCACGCTTTTCACGCTTTATATAGACACACCGACTCTATTTCTCAAATTTTATCGAGTGTTACAGATTACAGGAAAAGGCAACCTGCACCGATTGAGAGTAGGAGGTAGTTAAGAAAACAACAGAAATTGGCTTAAATTCAATTAAAGTGACAGCCCAAAACCAGCTAGTGGGGTGCAAAAATGTGATGCATGAAAAGCCAAACCACATCAGTAGATGTCCTTAGTGATTTCTTCTTTTCTTCTTTCTTTCTTTTCGTTTTTGAATTATTTTATTATTCTCACGTCATAAGGATACAGTACAATTTTAATTAGCTTCGTTCTTTCCAGAAGAGCTTGGCATCCCAAAGGACAATTACTGCAAGTACCATAAGGTAGCAATGTTTTAAAAAGTTAATCAGATATAATAGATGGATGATAGTAATGCATGGAGACACCATGATATCAAGCCTTACTTATTGTTTGATTATTTTGAAATAAATGTTATTCATGTTATTTAATAGCTTTAAGCAGTGGATCATAGTTCAATAGATTTTGCTGGCACTTTGACATGTTTACTTCCAAAAAATATATACAATGAACAAATCACCTGCAATGAGTAGCTGTGTAGACAAGATATCAATTAGTAATAAGGAAATCGTGGGATAAAATTACAATATAATCAAGCGCTAATAACATATTTATAAGTAGTACTGAATAATGTCTATACTCACTAAAGAATGTCTAGAATGTTAATTCATAATGTATAGATTAAATGCTTATTGGTCGTGAAATCCCAAACCTACTGTCTTATGTGAAGTAGAAGTATTATATATAGATTATTACAGGGTTTAGTTTGCTTGGTACTACTTTCATCTAATGATCTATTGACATTTTGGTTAGCTTTCCTCAATGATATTACATAATCACGAATTCACAAAAATAAAAACGCATATTTACTAAGGTTTGGAAGATTATTCGCTTCCTTGTATTCTTGATGTTCATGTTCGTAGCTAATTACTATCAATTACAAGCAAAAAACACATGCTATTAGTATCATTAGTCTGTCAACATACCACCGTGGAAAAAGTGAATTTTAACAATGCTCAGTGATTGCTATAAACAGGCATTGATGTTCTGTGGATGCTTGTCACCTCTTTTTCTATATTTTTTTTCCACGCAAATGCACACCTCATTGCTTATGCTTTTGAGGGTTTCCTTCATCTTTCAAATTAGAACATAAAAAACTACACAGAAATAAATACAACTACATAAGTAGGCCTTATAAAGACCCAACTAACATTAGTTTCATATAGTGTAACAAAAGATGATTGATATATCTTGTAATTAGAAAACAATAGTAGTGACTTATTGTTTTAAAGTACATGTTTGATGCATGAAAGAAATGCCGTATACATTTTTATATTTACAGCATTGTCTCTACTTAGCATATGTAGTCTATATACGAGAAACAAATATGATGATGCTATAATAATATCATCATTAGTTTCGGTTTCTGATTTTTTTTTTTAGTTTTCAACTTATATATTTTATAACAAATATATAAATTAATGTGTTGAGAACGATCAAATATACCTGTTAGAATCGTTAGTAATGATACAAATGTTTGGCACACAACAACAATCATACTTATTTCTACCGCTTCAATTGATTTCTCAAATACTATATGAGCTGAAAATATTTTAACAGATATTAACCAAATCCGAGAGAGAGAGAGAGAGAGAGAGAGAGGGAGAGAGAGAGAGATTACAAGGGTGTAGCTCCAAGCTGAAGAGACGCAGATATTGTGTCCGTTTGAGTTCTCGACCCAACAGTTTTTATCCGTAAGAATCCCATCACTCTAACTTGGAGGGCTCAGTTGCCATTGTAGTAAAATGTAGACGGCATACTCTCCCGAATCTGTAGCCAGAAAACAAGTCCTGTAGAGCCCCCAACTCTCACCATCATACAGTTCAGCCTCAATAACAGGGGAGGAATAGGCCGGGGCAGCCATAAATATCTTGTAAGCTTAACTCTGGATTCTTCATCCACATTTCATCATCCGTTTATCACCCTGAACTGTGACCTGACGAATCTATCGTGAAAAAACGCAATCCAATGCCATGATCAGCCCATGAATTTTCTTAACACCTTTCTTCCACATCTTAACCTTGAGTCCTTAATAGCAGCCCAAGCCCCTTATAATCCAGCCAGCTCGATAAGATCATAACTCTTCCCCCAATAACCTTGCTAGCAGTGAATGCACCACGAGCACAATTGCGCTTTCCCATAAGAGGGAGCCGCCAAACCAAACCACCACGCTTCACAACAGCAGCCCATCTCAAAATAGCTCGGGAGTCTCATTAACATATCCGCCAGAATATATCCTTATCATCAAGCTTGAATGTGAAACTTATGCCCAGAGCATTGTCTTTCGAAATCGGAGGCCTTCTGTACGGGTCAGATCAGGGGAGAATGCCGGCACTTGGTGTTGGGCCGCACTGAATTAGTGGAGATACATGGCGTCTTGACGTTTTCTATCATCTCCGACCCAGACTTTGAATATTTAAAAAACGGGAAACGCGTCCAATGGCGGCCATTTTGCGGCAAGTAGGTATGGAAAATGCACATAACCTTATAGTGGTTTCTTCAAGTCGCCATCAGCGTCCCAATCGCCGTCGCCGAAAATCTGATCGTCAAAGGCATCGTCAGCTGGTCTAGGTTTTCTTCTCCGATGGGAGATACCTCTGCTGCGTTTGTTGGCTCTTGTTGTTTCATTCTACTTTGCCGCCTCATTTAAGTGACATTTTAAGACTTTTTAAGATTTGAGATTTATTATCATTTTCAAATCTTGGAAAAATTCCATGAAATCTCAAGTCTACAAGTAAGATTTAAGGTGAAACTTCGTATAAGGTCTTTTTTTAGAAACTCCACCAAATCATAAAAAGTCTTAATAAATCTTAGTGTCAAATAAATTAAATACCTCCAGATTTTGTAAGACTTTTAAAACTTCCAATTGAATACCCAGGATTTTTAAAAGTCTTAAGAAATCTAAATTGAATACCCAGGATTTCTAAATTTTTAAAAAATCCTTAAAAATCTTAATTGAATACACCCTCAGTTTTGGATTAAAAAGAATAATAGCAATTTTGACCAATATTGGGGTGCACAAATATTGGGATGCATATATTTCTCGCACAACACCACAAAACTTGAACAGACTTCGATTCGCCGTCTGCTCTGATATGTGAAGGTATTCGTCACATTGATCGGCAAGAGATCCGTATGCTAGTTGACGTATAGCCGTAGTACACTTCTGAATTGGTGTAAAACCTGGTCTTCGTGCTACATCTGCTCTACACGTAAAATAATCAGAATGTCCTTCGACATCCTGAATGATCTGAATAAATAATCGTCTGGACATACGGAATCTACGACGAAAGTAGCCTTCGTGGTATATGGGATCGGGAGCAAAATAATCTCTTATCAGTAGGGCATGACCAGCTTCACGATTTCAAGGCACTTCTCGTCTTTCACGCCTAGTTAAACTTTCATCTTTTCCGTCTTGCTGCAATTGCATAGTCGTGGCCTCCATCAAGGCAAATTCAGCTTGCTCCAAAGAATCGTCAAGCATATCGTTCAAGAAAGCACAATATGAGCCTCTATCATAATTGCGGCTTTAAAAAGGTGAAAAATATTTATATTTGAGAATTTTGGGAAAAAATAAGAAGAAAGAATCAAGAAGGAATTGAAAGATGTTTTTGGATGTGGTTGTGGAGTTTAGGATACGATACTATTTATAATAAGAAGTGTTTGTGTCAGGTGGCATGTGTGGTAATAGATGACATGTATGGTGTAGTAGGTGATAAGTGTGGTGTGTTAGGTAATAATGTGATAGTGAATTGCTATTTACTACATGGTTTTTACTAATACCGCCCCCGAAATTACCCTTTTACCCTTAGTTAAAAAAAAGCCCACCCCTCTCAATCTCTCACTTCTCTCCCTCTTCAATCTCTCTCCCTCTAAATACATTGAAAAAAAAAAAATCAAAACAAAAAATCAAACAATATAAAATTGAAGAAAAATAGCAAAAATGGCCGGAGGACAACATCGACACGGCAAGGAGCGCGCAATTCCACCGGTAATTTTTTACAATTTTTTTTATTTATTTTCTTTTTTTTTTTTTTAA